AACAACAACTATATAGAATACTATAAAATTGCTAATAATCTTGTTAAAATAATAACTTAGTCATAATATTGTTTAAAAAGATGTGTCTTTAATCTGGTTTTAAAAATAGGCAAGGTCTCACTCTTTCTAATATGCTCTAGACTGGCAGTTCGTTCCACAGTTTACGGTGCAGCATATGAGAACGATCGTTCACCATAGTTCACTGGTTTTACTGAGGGTATGGTAAGCAATCCTTTGGATGAGGAGCGTAAATTTGCTGATGGTGTGTAAGGTTTTAGCATGTTATTAATGTAATTCAGAGCCATTCAGAGATTTATACGTAATAAGAACAATTTTATAGATGATGCGTTGACTGATGGGGAGCAAATGTAATTGTTTCATTAATGGAGTAATATGATCGTATTTTTTGCTTCCTGTCACCAGTCGAGCAGCACAGTTTTGCACATTCTGTAACCGATCAATAAGAAATTTAGGCAATCCGTATAATAAAGAATTACAATTATCCAGTTTCGATGTAATAAATGCATGAACTAAAGTTTGGATATCTGACGTTGATAAGTACTCTTTTCTTCTTGCTATTTTTCTCAAATGTAAAAAAACAGTTCTTGCAAATACTGGTAACATGTTTATCTATAGACATGTGGTGGTCGAAAGTTACACCAATGTTTCGTGCTGAAGTACTTGGTTGAATTCTTGAATTAGATACTTCTATATATTCTACAGCAGGGCATGAACGATTTCGTGCATTGATTACTAGTAGTTCAGTATTGTCCCCATTCAATTTCAATTTATTTTTGACCATCCACAAATCAATCTCTTTCACACACATTTCAATTTGTGCCAGGGCTCCCAATTTTCCCACAATGGTTGACTCAAAAGCGAGATATAATTGCGAGTCATCTGCATAAAAGTGAAAATCAAGACCATGACCTCTGATGATATCACCAAGGGGTGAAGTGTAGAGTAAATATAGTATAGGGCCGAGAACTGATCCTTGTGGGACTCCACAGCGCAAGTCTTTAGAGATAGATTTAACACCGTCAATCACTACACATTGCTTCTATTCTGAAGATAGGACTGAAACCATTTCAACACTTGCCCATCTATCCCAAATATTTTGAACATTCGTTGTAGTAAAAGTTCGTGATCAACAGTATCGAATGCTGCTGACATATCTAGTAATAGCAACACCACACACTTACGATTATTAATGGCTACAAGAATATCGTTTTGTACTTTTAATAGGGTTGTTTCTGCACTATGAAAACGTTTATATGCCGACTGGAAGGGTTCTTCTAAGTTGTTATTAGCCAAGTGTTCCAGAAGCTGACCGGCAGCAACCTTCTCAATTACTTTAGACAGGAATTTTAAATTTGAAATAGGTCGGAAATTTGTGTATTCTTCGTACTCCAGCGAATCTTTCTTTAGTTTTGGTTTCAACACGGCTTCTTTTAGTTTCTCAGGCATACAACCTGACTGAAGTGACTCATTACTAATCTTAGTAATTATAGGTAAGAGAGTCTTCTGACAACCTTGAAAGATTTTTGCAGGAACTGGATCAAGTTCACAAGATTTTTTACCAACTTTATCAATAACATTTTCAATCTCATGTTCCGTGACTTCTTGAAAGTTAATGAATTTAACGCATTGTGCATATTGTTTCTCTTGATTTCGCTGATTACAGTGGGAAGAATCAATGGCTAGTTCTTTCCATATAATAGCAATCTTATTACTGAAGAAATCTGCAAATTTATTCACGAGTTCAGTCGTTGATGACGCAGTTAGATAGCGCTTTTCTGGCTTTCGATGGAGTAATTTATCAACCGTACTAAATAACACTTTCTGATTATGTGCATTACTGGAAATAACCGATGAGTAGTATGTTGTCTTAGCATTCTTTATCATGGCATTCACTGTCTCACATTGTTTGACATGTAACTGTCTGTCAATACATAGTCCAAATGCGCGCCAGCGGCGCTCTAGTTTCCTGCGATTTCTTTTTTCTTGACCAATCTCCTCATTGTACTATGGTGATAAAGGACGAAGAGTTATAATTCGTCGTTTTTGTGGAGCATGCTGCTGTAATGTTTCTTTCAACGTATTTTCATATTTATCAATAAGGACTGAAAGATCATAATCGTCATTTAAATTTAGTACTTTTGGATCTTCATTGAAACTATCCATGTTTACATTGTTTAATTTTCAGCTTGTTCTATAATGGTGGTTTCTCTAACTGTAATGTACAATGTATGGCAAGATGATCTGATATTACTGGATCATGTATTTTGATAGGCTAGGCTGAGGAACTCTCATATAATGATTACCTCCTGAGGAAATAATGGCTAATTGAGCTTGAAAGGACGTAAGAGTAGTTAAAACACTACATTAGATTTGTATGGCTTATTGGATGTGTTGTTACTATATCGCAAAGTATTTTAATAAATCGTGTTTAGCCTACAACTTGTCTATTTTCCAAAAAACATTTTCTAGTAAGTAAATGATAGTAAAAATTAAATTCGTAAGAAAAGCTTCTTTATTTTTGCCCCCCCCCCCCGCGCAGCCTCCTTGCAAAATGTCTACATTTTGGGGGGACAAGAAACTTTCGGTTAATTGATTGAAATATCTAAATATCATGTCATCTTGATCGCTAGATTTTGGCAAAATTTCAAATTTTGGACAGCTAACCCCCAGACAGCTCCATCTCAGACAATCGCGTGCAAAAATAATGAGACTTTTCACATTTTTGGCCATTTTAAAGTACGTCGGCCTCCCCCATGATCAATGTTGGAAAAAGTGGGTTGAATTTTCTCTTTTCAGTCGTCCACACAACATTGAATTGAGGGTGAGGGTGGCACTTATGCGGTTGTCTCAATAATTTTTGCTCCTGATTATAGGAGATCTGGGGGCATGCTCCCTCAAGAAATTTTCAAAAATGTAGGCATTTGGAACAGCATTTCCTGCATTCTGAGAACACATTTTTTTAATTCTCAGCTTTTCAAACCAAAGTTTAAATGGCGATACTTGTAATATATTGCGCGCTAAACACTCAAAAATAACATAAGTTTAAGTATGCTCACCAACAAATTTTGTTTTTTAATATTTTTTTCAATCATTTATATGTTAAATTCATTTACTCAATACTGGTCCTAGGGCTCTGGCTTTGGAGCAATAGGCCATTTTTTTCTTCAGTGGTGGGGCAGAGGAAGGGGCCCAGTGGGGCAAATTTCCCACCAGTCCATGGTATTAAAAAATGCCTTGGAGTCAATCATATATCGAAGACCACTGAATAGTAGAGAATGTTTTGAAGGTCATGAGTGAAGTATATAGTTCAATTCCAATCATGTGCACTGTTAATGACATGCCACACTGTTCGGTTTAACTCAACATATACACAAAAACTTTGTGTTGTGGGAGAATATCTGTTTGAGCAGAAGGTATCACATATTTAGTTTTGTACATTGTGTGCCATTGATCTGATCCATCCATATAATATTTGATCATTGCAGCTGTTAAGTTATTTTTCATACTAATGAATTTAGGTAAGATTGTCTTGCAAGTGGGTTGTTCTGACAAAATTATACAGCCAATATCCAGTACATCAGTACATGTATTCGTCATTCTTGTATTAATCTCTAGACAAAAACATTTATATTAGAAAGCAAAATGACAATGTAACGAGGAGGGAGGGTGGGGATTCTTTTATTAGCATTTGAAAATGGTTGTAACAATTTTGTTTAACTCTAATGTGTCAAACCAAAATGTATAAGTATATTTTTAAATGATGACATCTTTACCTTTGCTCTAACACTACATTTGATGACAACTTAGTTGGACTGTTGTTTTGAACAGAGTTACAGAAATACAGGACCAAGATTTAATTCAATATCTTCTGAGAACATTAGTTTCTTGTGATATTGTTAATTCGCAATATAATGCTTGCAGCCAGAGTTTTGACTGTTTAAAATATTACACAATGATTGTTGTTATATTGTATAAATGTATATAATAAAATATGTGGTATTTGACTACTTACCAGATGAGGATAAATTTCCATGTTGGTAGGTAACTTCGGAATAATATCACAAGTAGAATGGTGAAAACAGCCAATTCAAGATAAAATCAAGATATTTTTGAAGCCAAAATGTGGCAAAGAATAACACGAGGCCAAACTACGCCCGTTCGTAGGTTAGGTGCGAGCACGATGTAAAGAATTGATGTAAACTAACCGCTGATTGGCTTAATTATATAAGCTCGTCGCTGCATGTTTATAGATACAAAAATAAAGATATACACCGGCACTGTATTGACATATGTTCATACCTGCAAGTCTTTTACATTATAAAAGTGTATTTTCCCAATTTAGATTGGGTGGGTGGGTCATGAAATAAATTTGATAAGATTGGATGGGCTTTGAAACTTTTATCTACATCCTAAGATGGGTCACCAAACTTATTGGCAAAATTTGTGATTTACCTCCAGCCCACCCTAGCAGTCACTTTATGACCAGTCCCTTAGTGAGAGCGAACGGTTAAAATCCAATAATAAAATACTAAATGTTGAGCAAACCTCAATGCAAGGACATAGGTTAACTTACGCCGATATAGTGTCATCTTGCGACACTGTTACAAGAAATAAACACAAATCTATCCCTCAAAGATCATCATGCAAAACCAAGGAGATGTCCTGCGATCTCGACGGTTTTATTGGTGTGGAACGCAAGCGAAGAAAAACAAAATAAATTCTTTCTAACTGGCATCGCAAAAAATGTGAATGAAAACCAAATTCTTTCTTATCTAAAAAAGAAAAACATAATTCCAATATATATATATATATATATATATATATATATATATATATATATATATATATATATATATATATATATATATATATATATATATATATATAGTACAATCTGCAGACATGCATGTTTCGGCGTTCAACGCCTCGTCAGTGCAGCTTGGTACACATCTAGATACGTGAGACACCCGTATTTATACCCCATGAACTTGCTCTCACCAAGGCATGTGGTACAACACGGTGACTCAACGCATCCAGACATGCGCAGAGCGTAATGGGGCCAGAGTGCTCAAACGACTACAAGGGAAGTGAGCTTTGCATTATCGCTAATAGACTCCCATTAACAACTCCGCAGAGTGCTCAACAACACTGAAGTGAAGGAGCGTAATAGTACAATCTGCAGACATGCATGTTTCGGCGTTCAACGCCTCGTCAGTGCAGCTTGGTACACGACTAGATACGTGAGACACTCGTATTAATACCCCATGAACTTGCTCTCACCAAGGCATGTGGTACAACACGGTGACTCAACGCATCCAGACATGCGCAGAGCGTAATGGGGCCAGAGTGCTCAAACGACCACAAGGGAAGCGAGCTTTGCATTATCGCTAATAGTCACCCATTAACAACTCCGCAGAGTGCTCAACAATACCGAAGTGAAGGAGCGTAATAGTACAATCTGCATATATATATATATATATATATATATATATATATATATATATATATATATATATATATATATATATATATATATATATATATATATATATATATATATATATATATATATATATATATATATACAGTCCTTGAAACCCAGGTCGGCATTCGGCAATTCGGCAAATGTGTAGATTTAGGTCGGCAAAATTTTGCCGACCTACTTTCAAATACGTCTCGGCATTTTTTTCCGCGAACCCATCTTTCACACACGCATTTTCAACGATGATGTTTTAATTATCAGGTTTTGATCATTAGCTTGCGTAGTCACATTGCAGTTTCATTGTTGAAAACTTTGAAAAGTAAACATGCGTATTAAAATAGTCGAGCTTCAAGATTTAAGCGAAAGTATATGGTAATAATTATAAAGTAGTGTACGGTCTGTCACAACATTTGGTCACAACATGCATGCACTGTTCGATTGGAGTTCATACATTTTGTTAGTTGTTTTGTTTGCTATTGGCATTGATTGCAATGAATACACGTATTTGCAGCAAGCAAGCAAATTAAATTTTCATTTGGATATTTTCTATTTGTTTCGAAAGAATTGCCGACCTGAAATTCGGGAGTTTCAAGGACTGTATATATATATATATATATACGATTTCAAATACTTCTAGTTTCGAAATTAATTGTTTTTGTATCTGCGAAGCAGATATATTAGAGACCTTACGATTTTAGGACGGCAACGCGACGACGACGGCCAAAACAAACTCCTTCAAATAAATGGTAGTAAAGATAGTTCGTGGTATATTATCAATCGCATGAATTTAATACAGTTTTAGAAGTTGAAGACATGGGTTTTATGGTTGGGAAGAGCTCTGCTAAACCCAGTTTGAAGTTGCACTTTTTGCGGCTTGGAATGCAGCCGTTGTATCAAGACGTGGAAATCTTTGATTTGGCGTTGTAAACAGAGCGAGGACAATGTCTAAATTATACATATATTGTAATTACTCAATTCTTTTCAATGATCTATTGTATTGGTAGCCGTTGCCGTCGCGTTGCCGTCCTAAAATCGTAAGGTCTCTATTGCCATCGCAAACGTACCGTATGTTAACATAGCCATTCAGCGAAGAGCTTATATAATTGAGCCAATTCATGATATATTTAAGCCAATCAGCGATTAGTTTACATCGATTGTTTACATCGTGCCCGCATTAATGAGCTGCCTAATAAACCCAATTTATCCTTTTCAAAATGGCGGCCTTTTGTGAGTGGGCAAAATGTTTCAAACAATTTCGTTAAAATTTTCAACGAATTGTACCGGTTTTCTATGGATTTTGCATTGTGTCTAACTCTGGGCATTTTTGCTAGTTTCGGTTAATGCATTTTTCTTGGTACACGACTCTGAAAATCCGAAATTTGGATCTTTGAATTCCCGTGCACGATCATATTAAATATACTGAATCTGATAATAAACGAGCCAAAGACAATTGTAAGGTAAAAGGTTATAACCTAAACTACACAACGTAGTTTTAATAGATAACTACTTTATGAGAAGCATG